CTCTTTTTGGAGTTAATTTAACTCTGAAAGTGGAGTAAAAATTTTAGGTACAGGATAACTCCTTTTTTGGGGTTATTTTAACTCCTGGATATCTGGGGTCACTTTTACTCCTGAAAACGAGTTCTTTAAACTCCTTTTTGGAGTTAAAGTAACTCCACGAAAAATAACTCCACTGTAAGGAGTTAAATTAGCCCCACTAGAGGAGTTATTATAACTCCCTGAAAATTACAGTGTGGGGGCGTTTTCAGAGACTTTCGCCGTTACGAAAGTTATCATTTTCTCAAGTTGATACGAGGTATCCGATAGATAGGATTTTGAGGAATATTGTATCTAATTGAACTATAGTATGTGAAGTTTAGTTCAGTGAAGCTTTAATGTTAACCAACAATTAAGCAAGACACACTGCATTGCTGTTCAAGAGCTATTGTTTTACTGATAGTATTTAAGTTTTTTTTTCTTGTTTGCATTTATTTGTGTTTTATTTATTGAACTAAGTTTTAAATGTAGTTTTACGGCTTCTCTTTTATTTCAGTCTTGGCTTTTTTTTAAAAATGTATTCAGTTTAATTAATACTTTGTTTTTTTTTGGTGATAATAAACCTGACAGGATGATCCAGTAACTTGATTCCAGGCCATTCTGTATCATTTGCGATCGAGGATCATTTGAGGACCATTTTGGGGATCATTTGCGGCCAGGGGATCATTTATGATCGGGGATCATTTGCGGTACTGTACAGTACTTTTGATTTCAAGTGATGGGGATAATAGAACGAGTTTTTGGGTTTGAAATTTCGATTCCGGGATTTTTTTTGGTAGGAAATATTTTCAGGGTATTTTTTGGGGTGCAACTTGATTTAAGTAGGGACAAGAGCCATTATGGCTCTTGGTAGGGATTTCTTTGGGGTATTCAAAACAATCTGAGGATTCGTGTTAGTGCCCGCGTATTCTGGCCGCGTAGTTCTGCGAATAAAGTACAACCAAACTTAAAAGCTCTATTTTTTGTGTTATATCACAGTAATGCTTTCTGGAAGTTATTAAGGCTCGGAAATTCGGCATGGGATTTTTGGGGGATTAATCTTTGCTCCGGGAATTTTTTTGGGTTTTGTTAAAAGCCTTAGGGATTATTTTGGGTTTTGATTTTTGCCCCCATTTGATAATACCCGTCACTTGAAATCCGGAGTACCCCCCCCCCCGGAGATGTACTATGTTGATTATAACGATTATAACGATTATAACGATTGTTCTATCGATGTGAGGCATTGTAAGTCATCCTTGCTATAATCTTAACGCCATTACTGCTGATTTACATTGTAAGTTAAATGCCGTTTGTAATAAACCCAATCCTTCGCTATGATAGGTGGATATTGGTTAGATCCATCCAGGCACGTGACCATAGTGTCATCATCCGGGTCATGAAACAAAACCAACGATCGGCGAGGAACTCTTCGTTTGATTTCCTCCTCAGGGATCAGCACTCGATGAACCTGTTTTATGAAAGAAAATAAAAGTGGATTAAAACACACTAGCTACTGAACAATGTCCAAAATAAAAGAAACAGAGGTTGGGAAGTTAAGTTTCAACAATGCAAGTGTCTTCAGATATTTTTAAAACTCCGTTCAAATGCTTTTCCGATTTTGTGAAAAACTTAAGAGTGATTTTCTGTAAAATTCGAACTTCGGCCTGACACGGTACCTCATCGATTTGGCTGATTTTTGGCATGTAGTCTTAGAATGGTGTCCTAAATACTGAATGCATATTCTAAGGTTCGAATTCTCGTTGGTTTCAAAGATACAGGAATGACAGTTTTGACGAGGCCTCGAGCGGCCGCCATGTTGGTGAACTGAAGGAGATTTACAGTAATTAATTCTAGCCTTATCATTAAAATAACTTAATCGTGACTCATGCTGTTGCAAAGAACTATCCTTCCTCCTTTCATTTACGTACTCTTATCTGAAAATGGTTAAGCGTGAGCTACGAACGGCTATAACTTCTCACAGCACTTTTTCGGTACTTAAACGGCACACAAATTTGGTAGAAATTGGAAGGCCAATATCACCCATGCCACATCGATTTAGACTAAGCCATTTTAACTAAACATAGTTTGTTTATAGCTCAGTTAGATTGTTGAATAAAATAATTGGGCAAATGCAACGAAACAGAAATATGATTGCATGAATGCGCAGTGGTTCAGCCACTTGGCCGCTAAAACTTCAAAACAAAATTCGGTGAATATTTGAAAAGAAAATTCTTTAAAAATTGATCGTGCCTCTTAAACCCTACCTATCGCTTAAAAAACCCTTCCTTGTAATGTAAACAGATGATCTTTTGATTCTGATCTTGCGAAGAGCTTGAAATATGCGCTAAAATGAAAATTATAAATTTTGTTACACACGAAACTAGCTCAAGTTCGCTCTTCGATTTCCCAGACCAATCGGGAGCCGCTCGTGTACTGCACAGTTACAATTCTCTCTCTACTATTTCGCTGTATACAGCTACAAATTACATATTTTCTTAGGCGAAGATAACGCAAACGTTGTCAATTTTAATCAAAAGGCTAGAAAAACCAACCGTGCACTGTAGCTTTATGCAAATTGTATGGTATTCGATAATTACACGTGTAAACAGGAACCTACCTTTGCTAATGTACACTGTTCGGCAGATCTTTCCAGCGTAAGATATAAAACTAGTACATGAAATGAAATTAAAGAACTCATCAAGTCAAATTACCTGATCGTACCGTCATTACTGAATAATAAGTCCGCAAAATATGACATGGAATGATCGGTGGGAGACGAAGCTATTTTTAGGAGGACAAGGAACTGCACGCTGGAACGGAATTGAAATGAACAACCTCAATCAAGTTCAGTCTTCTTGACGCTATTAAACGTTTCACCCGAATTTGAACAGGAAGTTGTTTTCTATTTTCTTTCTCATTCTTGCATGTATTCTGCAGTTCGCCCACTATTTTTTCGTAACTTTTAATTTTCTAGCTAACTGGAACTGTTAAGAACTACCAACCCCCCTCCCCCCTCCCCCCTCCCCCTCTTTGAGTGAACTTTCATTCGGTCTGATTCACAATAATTTTCGAACGGTGACAAAGTGATATTTGAAATGACATTTTATTTAGTATTTTTAAAAACTCCTTCTTTTTTTCCCGATAGCCAGGAATGTTTTGAACGTAAAGGCTCAAGTGGCGGTGTTTTTCACGACTCTGCTTGTAGACTGATCTCACCACCAGTACCACGGACATAAAATCTGATCGGAGAGGGTCATACAGTAACTGATGGGTCTCTGAAAAGCGAAATGCAGTCACTTGGGGCGAGTAGGCTATATAGATGATGAACTCATTGTTTATAACCCCATAACCGTATCCCAAAAGTCAAGCCAGCCCGGGGCGAGCGAACACAATTTTGGGGTCGCTGGCCACGCCCTTATGTTTAGCGGGAAATTGGTTGATTAGTCAAATCTCCTTAACTCCACGACCATGCACCTTTCCAAATATTGCCCTTCTTATCATCATATAGTTAGGGCCTCCCGTAAGCATTTGCAACTATTTTGAATTGTAGAAGACTGTTTAACAGTTTTCATTACTTTAATGTCTCGTAAACAACGCGAGGTACATGTTCTGATCTCTCCCCCCCCCTCCACCCTTTTCCCCCCAAATTTTCAGACCAACACTGAATTGCATGAAGGTATGTACAAAAATATGACCATCTCGAGGCAAGGTTCATCACTGTAACTTACCACATAAAAGCCTTTTCGTTGTTTGTCATCGACTGATTCTGTTCTGAATACTAAGGTCCCATAAACAACGCCACGCTTAGAAAGAGCCCGCCCTTTTCAATCCAAGAAATTAAAATTAAGTTGGGAAGTTTGTTGTTTTCTAAAAGTAGTTTGAACAGCCGAACGACATTTTTTTACACGGAGTGGGGAAGGCAAAGCTTCACTTATCTCTTCTAAGGTAGAAAGTGTCAGCAAAACGTGAGAGTCGTCCTTGAGGGTAAAGTGTCTAACCTAATTTTCTCACCGATTGCAAGTGCCATTTCATCCACGCATAACCTCACCTAGTTAACAGAATTGGCAAATGTAATGGGGAAACGTTGCGAGAGAACTGAGTAAGATGTTAGAGTAAGTTTTGGAAATTTTCCGCACACCTGGAAAGTCCTGGCTACGCTCCTGATAGAGACTTTTGCTGGAGAGAAATTGAAACATGTTCGCTAATATAGTGACGACCAGAAAGGACAAGCCATAGGATAGTTCCAGAAAACCACCCATTAAAATAGATCACGAAGTTGTCGCGGCGGAGGATGAACTTGAAGGCCTCTGATGAATTGCAATTTTTCAAGGGAGCCCAGACAGGATTATGTACGATGGGCACAGCTTGTTTGATCCGGAAAATTTAGAGAAGCTCAAGGCAAATCGCTAGACAACACATGCTAGAGCTGAACTAAAAATCTTTTGCCCCTTTGAACTCTGTCCCTAAGAGTAAAGGAGAAAGTTTCCCTTTATCAATGCATTAACCGAGTTGATTATGAATGTCTCCTTATGTTGGACGTCTTACTAACAAGCACATTACCACTACTTGCCCTCAGTGGCATTTTTCATTTGACGAGCAGAGAAAATTAGGTTTTGACTGTTTGAAATTCTGGATGCCAGAGTGAAGACGCCTTTTGTATGATGACGTCATCGTCCTACAGTAAAAAGCGTTCGTTTTTTACCACTGATATTACCTCAATCGGTACACTTATGTTGTCGAAAGGTCCGTGAACATGGTAAATGATTTTACCTTAAACCCGACCTATCCAATCGAACAGTTCGGCAATCGAACCCAATCGAACACCAATCGTTCGATTGCAGAACTCAGTCGAACATAATCGAATTCACAATAAAATTTTGCCAATCGAACACAATCGAACGTTCGATTACCGAACGATTGGTAATCGAACCCAATCGAACGTTCGATTACCGAACGATTGGTATAATCGAACGTTCGATTAACGGACGCCGCATCGCATGATAGGCACGTGGTATTGGAAAATTCCGAAGGTGAAAGTGAAATCACCGCTAACTCCCTTCCCTTTTTACGCGGCTTTTGCTGAGCACTGAAACCCTCCTCGTCTCCACGTCACTCTTGGCCACTCTGGAGAACCTGGAGAGAGTAATGGCTGCAGTGAGGTCCCTTCTGCTTATTATAATACTAATTTTAAACACAACTGCCTGTGTTGCTGTTGTTGAAATGGTGCGATTTTTCTCTGTTGAGAAGCATTTCCTTTTAACAGTCACAGTACCTTAACAGACATCGAAATTGCCTTTTATTTGTTTTGTTTTGTTCGAACATTGACTTTCTTGCTGTATGATGTTCAGTTCCTGTTTATTCAATAAAAGCTGACAATGATTATATTCCACGTGTTTTACTCAGTTTGAGGCGTCAAGAGACAATTGCATTGGATTAGTTCGATTTTGGTCGATTTTGTTCGATTATATTGGTTCGATTGGTTCGAAAATCGAACTCACAGCAAAATAGGTGTTCGATTTTGTTCGATTGCCCAACCCAATCGAACGATTGGAGTTCGATTGGGTTCGATTGGTTTTTTGTTCGGTTTTGTTCGATTGGATAGGTCGGGCTTAAACTGCAGACACATCTTCAATCACTCCTTATTGTTCGCGATATCGGATAAACACTCTGGTCTCTAACTGAATTTTCTTTGCTGTTTACTTTATTTTGAATTAGGACTGTCTTGAGTTGTCCATGTATTGTCTAGCGATTTTAAGCTTTTTCAAGGAAACAAAAATCTGGAATTGTCGCTAGGGTGAGGCATTTGCTCCTGTTTGCGCACAGTTTTAAAGCCCTTCCGTGGGGTGACTGTGGTTTTTGCTGTCCCGGGCTCATCCCTCATTCTTCTTAACCCCTTCCAAACCAATTTTTCTGTTTATCAAGAAACTCCTCAAAACGGGCTTCGTGATTGAGACAAAATACCTGAAAATTGTACACGGAACCGTTGTTAACGGTGTACAAGGTAGAATGAGTCTATTCATTACTTTGCCAACGCCCAATTTTTAAAACCGGAAGTAATGATGTTTATTTCAAGGGCTCATGTCTCATGAGTTTTGAGTAAATCTTAAAACGCTGTAAACACATGTAGCTGGAACTATCATCGCATCGATCCTCGCTCGCTAATAATGATAACTTATATCAACTGCCATTATTTATTGCCTGGCTAAGATTTTCACGGATTCTTCAGTTCAGTTGTTTGAAACCAGGCGGTTTCACGTAAGTTGTAACGCCAGGCAAGGAACGTGACGACCCGCGATATGCGTGGGAAAATATTCCTTTTTTTTTCGATCAAGGTGGAAACTGGCAACTTTGTCGTCGAGTAAGGTAATACATCTCAATTTTCATTACTATGGTTAATTTTAAAAGCTCTGGTTTAGGTAAAGGAACTGGAGGAAAATCAGGAAAATTCCAGTTCGACTGTGATGGTTGAATTTTGTTTACGCGTCATAGCATAAACATAACAAATTCATTTTCCTTTTCCTTATACAATCTGCCTTTTTTATACTGTTTTTCGCAGCAGAGTTATCGATTATATTACAGAGGCTAATTTAATGACAGAAACTCTATTATCGATTGTAATTTTGGCAACACCTGGCGAGTATTCGGTGTACAGATTATTGACAAAGTCGCTAGAACAGTCTTCCATTCATTACTTTTGTTTCTGCTCCGTTAAATTTGCCCAATTTTTTTATTAATGAACTCGATTTAACTACAAACAGTGAGTATTCAGGCAGATTGGCAAGCTTCAATGCGATGTGGCAAAAGAGATATACGCCTTTAAAATTCTGTTAATTTTGCGGGTGTAAAAAATTCAAAAAGTATACCCACCAAAAGTTTAATCGATCTTTGCGAAAACGTTATCAATTTCGAAGTAGTTTCTAAAAATACAATAAAGAGGGATTGTTCTTTCAATCTGTATTGGCAAAGGAAGATTAGCTTTGAAGACAGGGTTGTAGTCGAAGGCTCAAAAGCAGCTTCTATTAACCAATATGGCGCCGGTCCGAGGCACCCAAAAACCGGCCAAGTCGATAATTTCCGAAGTAGGAGGAATTAGAACCTAAAGTTACCTATTCCTTATTAAAGACCTCAAATCAAGTCTACATGCTAAGTTTTAGCCAAATCGGTGAGATAGTGTGGCAGCGCCTTTTTAATATAGCTCGAATCTTACAGACAACTGCTCTTAAGGCGTTTCTGGGCGCCGCTTATCGAAAGCGTTTTTTGAAATTTAGCCGTTCGTAAATAAGTGAACAAAACACTACTGGCATAACGGGATATTCGATCAGATTGTTAAAGCTGCTTGGTGGGATGAATTAGGCACCAAAGTTCACGTCTATTACGTGGATAGATTGTTTTCACTTGACCTTACGTCAGCTATTTTTGGTGTCCCAGAACAATGAAACTACGGCCACGTTGTTGTCCCAAACCAACAGCTGAACCATTCCTGTG